AGTAGACATATTTGTTGTTCAGTCGGTGGTAAAAGACGACTATCAAGTATTGTTGCTGTTTCAGGTAATATTGATTTAACTAAACGAAAATATTTTTTTGACTTAATAGCTTCTATTATTTGTTGTTATTTTTTTCTTTTCTTAAAGGAAAGATATATTCTGTGTACTGGAGCAAATATTATCTTCCAATCAAATACGAATATGAATAACAAATAACGTGTTTTTTTCCTTCCAGAGATAATTTATATAGAACGATCAGAGAATAGAAAATAGTATGAAAGAGAAAAACAACCAGTAGTTAACTGAGAATATATAACAAAAACTATCTATCTTACCTATTTGTATTAATTGTCGACGGATTTTACGAATATCAGTCATTGCTTTTGGTCGTAAACCATAATGAGTACAAACTGTGTTATAATTTTTTGAATTTCCATGATCTAATGCACCAATTGCTTTAAGTAAAACCATCATGTCACCAAATAAAAGTGATTCACCCTAGATTACTTTTTTTTTGATTTAATAATTAAAATAAAATACACATACTTGTCCTATCCATTGTCGTCTGACATCATCTAAACTAATACTAAGCTCTTGATTATCCTATTAAACAAAAAAAGAAACATTCTATTTTAATTCTTAAATATGATTATACTTTTTGAATCTTTATTTGTCCATTTGTTAATACTTCATTGACACTAAGTGCTGCAACAAGTGCAATAATATATGGTAATAAAACTTGATTTTCCTGTGCGATAACAAGCATTTTTGAATATCGAGGATTAATTGGAAATGCTGACATTCGACGACCTAATTCCGTTATTTTTTTTGTTGGTGTTTTACTATCAAGTGCATTTAATTGTATAAGAATTTGTTCAGCAACATGAATTGCTTTTAAATCCGGTGGAGTAGGAAATGGAAAATTAGCTAAACGATCAATATTTAATGTTTTTAATTGTAAAACAAGATCTTCAACGGGTTTTCGGACGATCTCTGGTGGTGTATAATCTGCAAATGAATCATTATATACAGCTGATGAATAAAGACGATAACCTAAATGAAAAAAAAAGATATTCAGATAGAAACGAAAAACAAAAAAAAAGTTTTTCGCATACAATGACCAGGTGCAGTTCGACCAGCCCGACCCGTTCGTTGATTAGCTGATGCTTTTGATGTCCATTCAATTCGAAATGTTGATACACCAGTTAATTTATCATAATATTTTGTTTTAGCCTAATTAAATAATATTGAAAAATCTTTTTTTATTCTAAATGAAAATCATACTTTGCCACAATCAACAATATATTTAACATTTGCAATTGTAATAGATGTCTCAGCAACATTTGTTGCTATAACACATAAACGCATACCAGGTGGTGGAGGTTCAAATACCTAAATAAGATTTTTCCGTATTACAAAAAATTAAAGTAAATTTAATGGAGTAAAAAACATACCCGAGCTTGTTTGTCTGTTGAAAGTATTGCATAGAGTGGAAGAACATAAAGTGGTTCAACTGGTATTCCTTCTACTCCAACATCTTCATCATCAAGATCACTTGTTATTGAACCTTCTTTTTTTCCTTCATCTTCTTCCTCCACATCAGATTGTAAATGTTCAAGTTCTTCTTCATCAATTATTCCCAATGAAGATTTGCCATCCGTTGATAATTGTTTTTTCTTTCTAGTTTTTTTTGATTTAAACTGTGGTTCTACTAAAATACATTAAGATAAAACGTATAAGTCTAAAGTCCATTGTGAGTACGTGATCATCATTCCATTTACATTCTTTAAAAACTTTCGAGATAAACATACTATTGAAAATAACTCGATTAATTTTATCCCACTGTATGTTACCTCGGAATCATTATTAATAAAGAAAAGCTTTCATGACACTGTTTGAGACTAATGTACATAATAGGGCAGGAAATATCTTGTCATAATCAAAAATCTTACCATCATTTTCTGTTTGTGCGTTCATAGGAAATTTTTTTCTTAATCGATGACATAATGTTTGAACTTCTTGTTGACCAGTAACAAAAACTAGAATACCACCTGAAGGTAATTGTCGATGAATTTTCGAAACTTTTCTATATGCTTCTTCAATATAATTTTTTGGTGTTTGTTTATTAAAATGTATTGTCACGGGATATTGTCTTGCATCAATATTAATAATTTTTGGTTTTAATTTAAATAAATGTCTATTATTAATAAATTCTTCAATACGCATTGTAGCTGACATAATAACAAGACGAAGTGGATCATTTCGTTTACAACGTATTGGTACAATACGTGATAATAAACCAATGAGAACATCAGTTGCTACACTACGTTCATGTGCTTCATCAATTAATATACAACTATAATTAGTTAATAAAAAATCATTTTGTACTTCTTTTAATAAAACACCATCGGTCATGAATTTAATACAGGTTGTTTCTTTCTTAAATGTACCTTCATAACGTATTTGATATGAAACTTGACTATAAAATAATGAAATAAAAAAAATTTTTCGTTTTGATTATTTTCAAATAAACTAACTCATTAGTTAAATTTAATTCATGTGCAACACGTGATGCCATAGATATAGCAGCAACACGTCTTGGTTCAGTTACACCAATCATTTTACCATCAACTGTATAACCAGCTTCATAAAGAAATTGAGGTAATTGAGTTGTTTTACCACTACCTTTAAAGAAATATGAAATATTTTTTGCTTTTTCTCGGTTTATGGTTTTCTAATGGCGCATCCCAAATTTCCCTGTGTAGACTCATACAATATATTTATATTTTTGTTTTGTTTGAAAGAGCGTGTCAAGATGCAGGGCATGGCGGGATCCTTTTTTTTAAATTAAGCTTTGTTTTGAATATATATAGGCGCTCAAATCATTAGACACCCACTTTTGGAGGATTCTAGAGTCCCAGAACTTGTGACATCTTTTTCTCGACTAAAAAGTATGTATTTTAAAAAAATGATCCCGTCATGCCCTGCAGTCTAACATACTCTTTCAAACAGCAAAAAAATTAAATATATAGGAATAGTCTAGACGGTGAAATTTGGGATGCCAAATTAGCTATTTTAGGTCCTTGTTTGGTGAATATCTTTCCCAAATAACATGATATCGGGCTGAAAATTTTACTAGAACTTCTCCATTATAGCTCTAACATATCCTGAATATTTAATTTTTACCAGTTTCTCCACAAATAAGAACAACAAGATTATCATGAATAGCTTCCATAATAACTTGTTCTTCAGTAATAATAGGTAATTGTGAACGTATAGCTTGAATTTCTTCACTACGTTCAACTTGAACATTTGCATGTGGTCGAGCTGGAATATCGACTTTAGTTTCTTCAATACTACTAGTACTATCTTCACGTTGTCGTCGTTTAATAACAGGTGGTGGAAGAGATGCCTGTGTTGTTGTTGTTGTTGTTGTTGCTGTTTGAGAAGGAAGTAATGCTTTACGAATATCATCATCATTGATAGTTGCATCAATATCGTTCTCATCACTATCACTTGAACTTGATTCAGAACTACTGAATAGAGTGAACAAAAATAAAGTTATAAAATCTGAATTTTTGTACTAGCTTTTCAAGTGCTTCAGTTGTTACTTGAGCTGGACGTTTTCTTGAGAGATGATTAAGGTTGATAGTCGATGTAGAAATACTTGTTGAACCCAAAATATCTGCATGTTGACTAAAAGAAAAATAATAATAACAAAAAAAAGTCATATTTTGATTAAAAAAACTACCGTTTAACTTTAGCTCCAATATTTTTTACTTTATGAAGAAGAGCTAATTCATCACTACCAATTTGTACTTGACCTAATTTATCGAGCAATTCAACTCTCTATTATAAAGATCATTATTGAAATAAAAAAATTATTCATTTTTGATTTTTTATTTACTTTCGCTTTTTTCTTTTTTATATCGAGTACTTTTTCAAGACGTTTGCGTTCTTTTTTTGATAATTTACGTTTAACAGGAACAGTTGTTTGTTTGACAGCATGAGTAATTCGTTTTTTCGAAGGTAATATTGAATTATTGTCAGCAGTTGTTGTCTCTCCCTCGACAATCACCTGATTGACATCATAAACAAAAAAGAAAGTGTTTTAAATAAAATACGAAATAAAATACAAATACATTTGCTAATGGATTTTGTTCAACAATAGTAACTTTTTTATCTTGACGACCTTTTTTATTAAAACGACGTGCTAAACGCGATGGTTTCATATCTATAAATTAAATATATCTAAGCCATATACTAAAATATCCGGAATAAGTCTTTCGGTTTTTTTCTTGAATAACATTTTTTTTCTCTTATAAACACAAACACACACACACATACATAAATATACAAGAAAGAAAAAGAAAAGAAATACATGCAATACATATATATCAATCAATCAACCAAGGAAATAAACAAAACAATAATAGATGAAATAAATGTAAAGTTAGAACAGAGGAATGAACAAAATGAAATCAATGTTTTATTATTATCTGACATTTCGATGTTGATCGATTTAAAAACGAAAGAACAATTTGAAATGTTATTTAAGATTTTTTCACCGTATTTTCTGTTGCTTGAGCTAATGTTAATAATTTTTCACCTCCAGATTTCGTCACAGTTGTTGTTGGAGTTGTTTTTGGTAAAGCAGCGCCTGGTGTTGTTGGCGTTGTTGTTACACTTTTACCTTTGGATTTTTGTCGTTTAGACATTTCTTCTAAATGTTCACGCATTTCATTTTCTAATGAATCAATAGCAGGTTCATCACGCCAAAATGTAAATGATGAATAAGATTCACTGGCAGAAAATGAATCCATCGGAGGAAATACTTGATCAACTACTTCATGTAAATTTTTATATGAAGTCGATAATACTTGAGAAATCTTTTGTCGAACAACTTCACCACGTGGATTAATTGTAAATATACGAGTCACCGGTATACCAACAGCTGTATATGCCCATTGATCCTATGAAGAAAATATTCAAATTTTTTTTTTTATATAAATTAAAACTTACATTAATTCGATTACCAAAACCAGCATAGAACGGATTTTTATCAGGAAATAAACTTGCAATATTTTTTAAACATTCAATTTTAAAATCTTCTGGTTTTTTCGCAATCACTTCTCTAAAAATTTTACAAAATAATATTATAAAATTTGAAAAAAAAACGTTTTACAAACCTATAAAGTGCAGTTACTAATGTATCAGGTGAAATAAGTAATGGACCATTTGGTAATATACTACCACATTGTTTTATATTTCGTAAAAAATTTCTTGTTACACGACTTTGTCCAATAGCACGTGCAGATAAATATATAAATTGATAGCCATTTTCTTGAATGGCTTGAAAAAATTCGGCAATACCATCATGTGACCAATCTTTTCCAACTAATGGAAGAATATGACCAAAAACATCCGATCTGAAAAAAATAAATAATAGTATGTTAAATTTTTTTTCTTGTTTCTAAATTTACTTTGTTATAGTGCCATCAATATCTGATATAACAAATTTTGTCATATGATCAAAAAGGAAAATATTTGCTTCAACAACAGTTGTACCTTGTAATGCGGTTGTAACACTAAATTCAGCCTGATTTGCGCCAGATTTAAGATTAAGTCGTTTTAATTGATCAGATGTAAGTGTCATAGTTTTTTTTAATGCTGGAACTGTTTTTGGTTGTTGTTGTTGTTGTCGCATCTTATCTGTTAATTTTCTTACTTCATTATCTTCTAGTTCACTGTCATGAGAATTATTACGAATGAAGTTTTGATTTTTTATTATTGTTGGAACAAGTTCAGATTTAACAACTAAAGCAAGAGCTTCTGCAGTTGAAGCATCTTCAGTGGTTACGTCAGACTAAGAGAGAAAAATATATATGTATAAAATCAAAACAAGAATAAAATCTTTACTTTTCTTCCGGAAAATGGCCACCAACTGCTACTACTACTTGTTGTACGTGATTTTGTTGGTGTCATATGTTTATCTTGTAAATCTTCAACTGTTTCAATTGGTAATTCTTTATGATAAATACTTGTGGAAGCAATCAGTGCTGAAGCTACATTCCAATTATAAAATCTAGACGAATAAAAAATATATACTATAGGATATTCATAGTTCATTAACATACTTTCCACCAATGCGTACAACTAAATTAGGATCATTAATAATTGATGGATTATTCGCAAATGTTTCATATGGAACAAGATATTTATCAAATATATCATCAGTAATTGGCGATTGTTTATTTACATTTCCACATAGTGAAAGTTGTACGTCACCAAGAAGACTAGAAACAAACATAAGATAAGATCTATTCGATAAGAAATGTATTCAACAAAAAATGTAAACGACTACAACCAGAAATAATATATAGTATATCATACCAATCAAGGAAAGCTAATTGTTCATCACTGAAAATAATTTAGAATCTCAATGTTTTTTTTTACAACTCATCGTTTTTTATATAAAAATAAATAATTTCTACTTACGAAGCTTCATATTCGCGAATTGGGGAATTTGGTATTGAATTTCCAGTTCCGGATTCTTGATCTTCATCTTTTACGGGTTTTTGTTGATATTGAAGATAATCCATTTGTGGTAAATAACGTGAACGATCATTACATTTATTATTTGTAATATCATCAAGATAGATTTCTTCTTTAGGTGCATCTTGTTTTGATTTTGCTGAAGATGGCCATAAATATCGAAAAACACTTCGTCTTTGTTCAGGCAATTCTCCCCATTTCCATCGCCAACCTACATTTGTTCGATTAATTTTTGTTGATTGTTCTAATTCATATTCCGTATCAGATTTTGGACTTGTTGGTCGTGGTGATAGAGAATTGTCAAATGATGATGGTGGTGTAAAATCTTCATTTAAAAAATAAGGATTCGGATTAATTGATTGACTCATTCGAATAGGAACAGTATCAATAGTATTATTTAATGGTGCTGAATGAGAAAAAATTGCATTAAGTAATGGATTTAACAGATTATCAGATTTTGATAAATCATCTTCTTTTGGTTTTTGTTCAATTGGTATTGGATTTGATAGAGTTCTTTTAGTTTTTTGATGAAATTCTTCATCAGGAATACTATCTTCTGGACTACTACTATAACTATTATCATCATCATCACCATCATCATCATCATCATTATCGGATTCTACTGATATTCTTGGTGGAATAATAAGTAATTTTTGTCGACTATCAATACTATTCATTCGACTATGTGCATCAACAAATGGTGTTGATGATTCTGATTGTTTTTCATCATCAAGTTGAAAAAATGGTAAATCACTTTCACTTGCACTACGTTTACGTACAATTGGTAAGGATGAATCAGTACGTTCGTTGTTATCATTATTCATATTATCGTCATGCATTGAGACGGGTGTTGAATCACGTCCACGTGATCGATGTTTAATTGTCGAAAACATTTTTTCAATTTCTTGATCTTCTTCCTCACTTGATTGTTTACTAATTTGTCGATTACGATTTGTTGGACGTCGTTTTTTATTACGACGATTTGATGTTGATGTATTTGAATTTAATAAATCAACATCTACGGATGATACTAATGGTTGTTCATATGCATATTTAGCAACGGGTTCATTAGTATCACGAGATTTTTGTTCATCGAGTTGTTTATTGATTATTTGTGGTGTACAATCAATATTTGATAATTGAGGATGTGTATCTAATGATAAAGCATTATCCGGATCATAGAATATATTATTATTTGATG